TTGGATATGGCGTTGCTTTTTGTAAACGCATCTTTCTCCTTGTAAGCTTGAATGCATGTTTCTGCACAATCTTTTCGGTGGCTTTGTTAGTCGTCTTATGAATTTCATCTTGCAGCATGCGTYGAGATTTCTCATTTCTAATGGCCACCCKACACTGACRAATGGTTTCTTCAATCAACTCAAACTCAGTTTCACATTCCTCCAGGTTCTTGGCATGAAGATCATCGAAAAAATCCTGAAGATCGATCTCAATAGTAGTCTTCAAATGCTGTAGTGTGTATTCCTTAGCATCTTGTACGTTATTACAAACATCTTGATAGCGTTGATCTAGCTGTTTCAAAGAGTAAGGCATCTTCACTTGAATCTTCACAAACGAAATATTTTTTCWCTAAAACGTTTCACAATTGTGAAAGAAAAATCGGCCGAGAAAAATCATACGATCATGACAATCTCGTTACAGGAAATTCCCATTACGTCATCGCCTGGGAATCCATCCCAAGAGGRGGTGGTTGGGGTCAATTTCGTGGAATATTTCGTAGATTACGTCAGGGTAATAAGGAATATCCTTATCCAACCGACAAAACATCCACTCAACTCTTCTCATAGTATCTCCAGACACTTCTGGAATAGGCTTACCGGTAATTTCAGACAAAAGGTAGGGAATACCTTTATAATATTTGCCTATCTTTAATTTTTTCAATGTCTTCCTTTGTGGCGTTKGCTCTTTTAAGTCAAACATAATCATTTCCATCGTTTCATCTCCTAGATATACTGGGCGAAGTCCTCGTATGGTCCATCCAGTCCCTAAAGTAWTTTATYCTCTTATAAGGTGTTTTCTTACGACCTCCATTGGCGTAATATTGCTCTCTGGTAGCATTTGGTACGGCAWTACGAATATTCTTACCACACTCGTAACACTGTGCTGACGTGTCGTCTTCTATTTGCATTTTTTTACCACAACGAATATACTTATTTGGCTTAGTAGGTACAAACTTGGGTTTCAAGCACTTTACACAAAAGTCATAAACAAACTCTTTACATTCGTGCATCGTATATAGAACAAATATTTTAACTTAGTAATGCGGGGCACCAATAAAATCCGTAGAGAGCTTTTCGAATCGAATTACGCAGGCAATACACATAGCGACCTTACRGGTAATACCCGCTGCGGACCAATGGTACTTGGCGGGGGTAATACMCGGCTCCCCCGGTACCCCCTCCGCGGGTCCCSCTTACTGCTGCTCGTATACCATTCTGAATAAAATAAAAATTACTAAGAGTATTTAAAATATCTTCATATAAGCATTCTTGAAACCTTTAAACTATAAAGGCTTAGAAATTAAAAAACAATCAACATTTTACTAAGTATACGCTACAAGAAACAAACGAAACTTTCTATTTCTTYGAATAATTTTTTTAAGCAAATTCGTTCAAACATATTCTTGGTTATCTAATGGAAAAAATGGTAAATACCGTTCTCATTTCCCTACATAAAATAGATAGAAYACTACCTTACCTTCATCGTAAAACTTGAATTTCTTTGTAGGCACATTTTCACTTTGACTAAATACGTTTGGGGTCAAGAAAATTTCTTCATCATCACTACTTGAAATAGTACTTCTCGCCATGATTAAAGATTACGAAAGTGCATAGAAAGAACTGAACCAAACTCTTTGAACTCTGTCAATATCATTTTCATGGCAAAACACTTTCACAAAGCGCAACTTCACTCAAGGGAAAACTGTCGTTGTGTTAAGTGAAAGAAAAAAAGAACAATACGGAATTCCGCGTCTCTCTCTCTCTCTCTCTCTCTCTCTCTCTCTCTCTTTCTCTCTTTAGAGTCTCGACTGAGTATTTGCTACTTACTTTCGCTCAAGCGATTTTCTATGTAAAAACATGTTTGAAACTCAAGCTGAATGATTTAAGAATAAAGTATTTATCATTATTAAGGGCTTCAAGCAATCGGTTCACAGAAAYATTTTGATTTGTGAGATTTTTTGGCGTTCATTGTTCGACAACGTAGCAAATACGCATTTGAGAGCACATCGACCGTTTTTTTCTCAAAAATCGAAAACTTTCACAGCATTCAAAGGTCTTCAAGGTAACCTTCTTTGCGGCAAAACCCTTCTAAGGTCTGATTTATTTTAAATTTTTCCAAAAACCAATTTTGAGAAAAATTTCAAGATCTAGGGTTACAGTAGTCTCCCTCGCATCCGTTTTTAGTGTCGGTCGTCACGCAACGCTCCCTCCCCACAAACGGCTGCTTGCATTCGAACTACATTCCTTTCTCATTGTTTGGCCAATCACAAGACGGGTTACATATTTTGAGAACMGTTCGCGGACTTTTGATCTGACCAATCACCGTGCAGCTTTTATTTCGCATTCTCAACTCGTTCATAGAAGAAGTGTACATGTTTGGCCTCGTGTCTTCAAAGTTCGGTATTCGATTCCTGATCTAAATGAGCATCAGAAGTCGGCTATCGAAACTTTAGTCGAAGAGAAAAAAGATATTTTTGTCAATCTTCCAACGGTTTGGCAAATCTCTAATTTACCAAGCTCTGCCTCTCATATTTGACTACAAATATACACTAGAGTCTGGTCACATCGTTGGTTRTTGTGTCTCCTTTAATTGAGASCTTTAYGTCCGAMGACGAGWACGAGAAYGGGTCCGAGTTAAAGCTTTTAAAGATTGGCACTATCTCTTTGTAGTYTKGATAGGTTATAAAATAGATTGAAACTTTAGWTTGTAAAAAATCGGAAATCGACTACGATTTAGCGTTACTCGTACTCGTACTCGTCTAATGGATGACCAAGTCTCAAAGYTACGTAGTTTAGRAGTTAGTGCTGTGAAGATAAGCTCACTAGAAGAGGAAGAACGCTGTGAAGTCGAAAACGGCGAATATTMCGCACCGATTGCTTTMGAGGATGTTCTTCGTCAGCTAGATTGAAACTCAGCATGTTTATACTTTCGGACACTGTGATTGGCTCAATAGGAAACAATACGCTCGACCTCATTGGTACGATCCAAACAATGAGAAAGGAATGTAGTTCGAATGCAAGCAGCCRTTTGTGGGGAGGGAGCGTTGCGTGACGACCGACACTAAAAACGGATGCGAGGGAGACTAGGGTTACAGTTGAGCAAGGTCTGAAAAATTGAATTTTTCAAACATTGCGCAAAATAGTTTTTTGGAAATATCTCTGTTTTCCTTATTACGAATCACGTTTCTTCAAGGGAGCAGTTAACTCAAGATAAAATACAGTATCTGAGAGAAAGTGGAATCAATTTATCTAATTTTACGAGTTTTATGATAAAAAGTCTAAAWTGGTAGCAAATACGCAGCAAGGTAGCAAATACGCACTAGCGAGGTAGCAAATACGCACTTAACCCCAAGTTAAAAGGTAGCAAATACGCACTCAATGTCACTGCAAATAAAATGATTTCTTTTAGTCATATATACAATGCCATAAAGATTTTAAACAATTTTATTATATATAGTTACTCCGGTATAGTTTAAGAGCTCTTGTAGAAATGCACATGATAATATCTAATAAGCAAAACGAAATGGTAAAGTTTAAACCGTACAGATATMTTTCCAGACGTTTCGGCGTCTTTACGACAGGAAAAGTCAAAGGATAAAGTCACAGGATAAAGGATACGTTTATAACGTTTTATTCACTTTTTTGATGAAAGTAGCTACGCACTGTGCACGACATTAGTAGAACATTTATCAAGTGTARTTGGATGTTTAATTACTTTGCGCACGACAATAGTAAAACGCTTATCAAGTGTAGTTGGATATTTWGAAACTTTGCGTACGATAATAGTAGAGCAATTATCCAGTGTAGTTTAATGCTTGTTAATTTGTGCACGCTATCAAACATTTATCAAGCATTGTCCGATGCCGTTAGATGCTTAGTGTTTTCCTTATGCACAACAACAGTACAACACTTGTCGAGTGAAATTCAACGTTTATTAAATTTGCGTACGACTATAGAAGAAGATTTACAAAATATCGAGCACCGTTTATAAATAAATGTTAACGTTTTTCGTGCGCAAAGTTACCAAACACCGAAAGTTAGTTGGTTATTGTGTATTTCGATGTTCATAACATTGCGCGTTACAACTGTAGAATATTTATCAAGTGTAGCTGGATGTTCGGTAACTTTCCGCAAGATAATTTAAGCATATTCATCAATTATGGTTCTTATTTTACTGAATTTGGCACCATAAAAGTGAGCTCCGCTTTAATTCTAACTTTTACAATATGAACTCAATAAGTCTTGTTGATTCATTGTCAATGAACAATAAGTATCTTTATCTTTGATGATTTGACTTCCCATTATATTGTAGAATAGGTTCACGTTAGTTGCTTAACTAACTAATAACAACTTTACCCCTGACTGTTATTTTCTTAACTGTTGTATATTTTTGGCAAAATATATGGTTAATCCAAAGCTAGTTGTAACATAAACGCAACGTATTCTTATCTTGATTGAATCTATATCCTTAGAAAGTTTTTATTGTCAGTATCTCTTAGCGGATGGTTGTTTTCGCTTTTTTGCTCTTAGTCGACGAACTTCATGGCGTAGCTTATCAGCAAGACGTTTTTGTTTCATTACACTCTCTTCATCTGATTCGCCTTCAACTATGAGACGAAGTTGAAGTGCGGTTTTATCGTTCTTTAGTCTTTGCCAAAGAATGTCCCTCTTGACTGTGCTGCTCTCCACCATGTCCTTATTGAGTCGGACTAAATACTCGGTTTGCTCTTCACTGAACTTACTCCATGTTCTTGTTTCTGATTGTTCTGTCGGTGCAGATTCAGAAGGAGTTGACTTTAGATATCTTAGAACTTTGTCGTGCGCATTTTCGTCATCTTCTGGAAGGGTCACCGTTTCCAAGTRCTTTGTCCTCATCCTCTTTACCTTTTGCACAACTGCCTTGAGCGTATGATTCTCTAGTATATTTGACGCACAAAGTTTATCACGAGCTACTTCGTGCGTGATTCCTCCAGCCTTGATCTYTGAAGAAAAGATATTTTCCAAACAGCTTTCTTCCTCAGTCGTCCATTCTACGTAGGAAACTTTGACGTTGTCATCCTGGATATCACCGGTTTCCATTGAAACAAACTTTTTCACAGCTCGACGTCCAAGATCAGCGTCTGTGACTTTGTCATGCACACAATAATATTTCTTTTGAGTTTCTGTTTTATGTTGTGCCMGTGCAGCAAGACTTTCCTTATCTTGAGGCATGCGGATATGGACCCCAGTTGCTAAAGACTTCCTTATAGTGGTTGCAGAAATGCGGCCTTTCACTGCWCTTCAAATGTGCGCCAAATAGATTTAGATATTTGTGACGACTTCAAGGACATGCCATTACTTGAGACAAAAACATTGTCAACCATTGGGTT